GGCCTGGTGCACTGGGAAGACCCAGAGGGATGGGGTGGAGAGGGAGGTGGGAGGGGGGACTGGGATGGGGAATACATGTAAATCCATGGCTAATTCATTTCAATGTATGACAAAAACCACTGCAATGATGTAAAGTAATTAGCCTCCAACTAATAAAAATAAATGGAAAAAAAAAAAAGAATGTCTCAAGTTTGTAAAGGTGTTACCAGACCCGTTTCCACAACATATATCTTAAGATAACAGGATTAGTCAGAAGGTTCTTGCTAAGAAAGAGAAATTTGTCCTTGAGCAAGATACATTGTTGCTATAATCATTAGTACGGAGCTTAAGGAAGAACATACCCTTGCAGAAGATGTGTTGTTTTGCTGTGTAATCACTAACTTTGGGCTTAAAGAAAGTTAATCTTAGGTGAAATAGATTGTTGGCATAACAACTCGGAGCTTAAAAAAAAAAAAAAGTTTTATGTGACTAAGATGAAGGAATGTAGGGGGAAAAAAAATGTTTGTCCCTTCCTCTTTCTCAAGGGCCCCGGACTACCTAAGAATTAGCTCTCTCAAATAACTGCTGGTGGTCAGTTTTCACCTGTTGGGAGTCTAGCTTGTTCAAAAATAATTCAAAAATGTGGCTCAAGATATTAGCTAAAGCATTTGAGGAGGAACTAAAGGCCCTTGACTTTGTTTTATGGTGAAACTATAACCAGTCTTAATTGACTGGAACATGAACTGGTCACAACTGACTCCAAATTCCTGAAAAACAACTTGGGCAAGAATCTTAGTATTTAGTCTAAGTAACATTTGGAGGATGTATAAGTCTTTTTTAGCAACAATTAAAGTAAGTTGACAGTGAGAGTAGGTGACCAGTGTACTGTTTTAGGGTGAATCTTTGTTTTATGGGGGCTTCCCTGATAGCTCAGTTGCTAAAGAATTTGCCTGCATGCAGGAGATCCCAGTTCTATTTCTGGGTCAGAAAGATCCACTGGAGAAGGGAAAGGCTACCTACTCCAGTATTCTTGGGCTTCCCTTGTGACTCAGCTGGTAAAGAACCGACCTGCAATGTAGGAGACCCCGGTTCGATCCCTGAGTTGGGAAGATACCCTGGAGAAGGGAAAGTCTACCCACTCCAGTATTCTGGCCTGGAGAATTCCATGGACTGTGTATTGTCCGTGGGGTCACAAAGAGTTAGACATGACTGAGTGAGTTTCACTTCGTTTTTTGGAGGAAACTATTATTTCCCCTTGCTTGACTGCTTTTCCTTGTCTCTGCATTTTGTCACTTCTCTGATTAAATTTGTGTTGGAACCCAGACAAGGCTAGCAGGCTAAAGTTTTTCTACAAATAAGAAGGGGACACAAGGCATATGAGGATGGTCCCTGGGAAGGCTCAGCAGTTAACGAATATAGTAAAGCTGCAGGATATACAATTAACACACAGAAATCTCTTGCATTCCTATACACTAACAATGAGAAAACAGAAAGAGAAATTAAGGAAACAATACCATTCACCATTGCAACAAAAAGAATAAAATACTTAGGAGTATATCTACCTAAAGAAACAAAAGACCTATACATAGAAAACTATAAAACACTGATGAAAGAAATCAAAGAGGACACAAACAGATGGAGAAATATACCGTGTTCATGGATTGGAAGAATCAATATTGTCAAAATGGCTATACTACCCAAAGCAATCTATAGATTCAATGCAATCCCTATCAAACTACCAACGGTATTTTTCACAGAACTAGAACAAATAATTTCACAATTTGTATGGAAATACAAAAAACCTCGAATAGCCAAAGTAATCTTGAGAAAGAAGAATGGAACTGGAGGAATCAACCTGCCTGACTTCAGACTATACTACAAAGCCACAGTCATCAAGACAGTATGGTACTGGCACAAAGACAGAAATATAGATCAATGGAACAGAATAGAAAGCCCAGAGATAAATCCACGAACCTATGGTCACCTTATCTTCGACAAAGGAGGCAAGGATATACAATGGAAAAAAGACAACCTCTTTAACAAGTGGTGCTGGGAAAACTGGTCAACCACCTGTAAAAGAATGAAACTAGAACACTTTCTAACACCATACACAAAAATAAACTCAAAATGGATTAAAGATCTAAATGTAAGACCAGAAACTATAAAACTCCTAGAGGAGAACATAGGCAAAACACTCTCCGACATAAATCACAGCAGGATCCTCTATGACCCACATCCCAGAATTTTAGAAATAAAAGCAAAAATAAACAAATGGGACCTAATGAAACTTAAAAGCTTTTGCACAACAAAGGAAACTATAAGCAAGGTGAAAAGACAGCCCTCAGATTGGGAGAAAATAATAGCAAACGAAGCAACAGACAAAGGATTAATCTCAAAAATATACAAGCAACTCCTCCAGCTCAACTCCAGAAAAATAAATGACCCAATCAAAAAATGGGCCAAAGAACTCAACAGACATTTCTCCAAGGAAGACATACAGATGGCTAACAAACACATGAAAAGATGCTCAACATCACTCATTATCAGAGAAATGCAAATCAAAACCACAATGAGGTACCATTACACGCCAGTCAGGATGGCTGCTATCCAAAAGTCTACAAGCAATAAATGCTGGAGAGGATGTGGAGAAAAGGGAACCCTGCCTGACCAGGGAAAGAGGTTCACATGTGCTGGGGTTGTACCCCATTTCTGCTGCCCCCCCCACACCCTCTGCTGACCTCCCATGCTGGATCCTGTGGGTCCTGATTGCTTTTGTGGCCTAGCCTAGACTCACACATCCTAGAAGTGAAGCTGGCTACACAGCAAGGGTCTTCACGACCATTGCATCCTTGCCATGCCGGAAGAGGCAGGTGGGGCATTACCTGCCCAGCTCCCAGGACCCTCCTGGCCTCAGAGGCAGCAATGGCTGCGCCTCACCTCTCCCAGATGCTGTCCATCAGGCTGCTGTCCTTGTCCAGGTACACGGTGTAGCAGTCGTTCTCCACGTGCACCAGGCGCCTGACCACGCTTGAGTCATGTCTCCCGGGCATGCGGCCAAACTGCTTGGTGTTGGCCATCGTGGCCTCAGTCTCCTGAGTGTCCTCCTTGGCCGTCCTGCTGGGCTTGATGACGTAATACCGGTAACTGAGTCCTGGGATCGTGGTCAGCACAAGCAGGTCATAGACAGATGGCATCTCCTTTGAGTTCTGGACCTGCAAGGCCAGAGGGACAGGATCACATGACGGATGTCATGGGGGGAAGACATCTCAGTCTCCTTAGCAACCCTGGGCTTACACACCTCCTGGATGGCGTGCTTGCTCCCCATGGGGGCAGCAGGGTCATCCATCATTGGGCTGAGCTGGGCTCCCCTCCTGCATCCTTTCTGCTCAACAGGGTCCTAGCCCAGCCCCTTTCCCCTCCTCCTTCCCTTCTCCTTTGGGGCTGAAAAAGCAACGTCCCTTCTTCCCAACTCTCCCTGCGGTTTCCTACCTCTGAGCCTTTGCTCACGCTGTTCCCTCGACCCGGAGGGCCTCCTCTTTGGAAGGAGCTGTCTTGTCTCTTTATTCTCCAATTTCCCAGAGGAGGGAGGTTTTCAGGTCATCCCTCCAGGATTTTCCCTATCTCCAAGTTATCTGATTTAGGGGTGGGATGAGGACTCTGGGTCCATGCAGGGAGGCCCCTGACTCTTTGGGGAACAGGTGCCATCTCTGGGCTTCTGTTGGGGGTTTTGTGGTAGGGTGGGGGGCTATTAGCAAATTTATGTGGCTCCATATAAGATGGACTGGGACCGAGCCCCTTTGCTTCAGTGCTGCAATGCTTGGACACACCTCTCCTTGAGCAACAAAATGCAAAGAAATTGTATAGGACTAAAAAGAACCACATGTATGCGCAGTTGGGGGCAAATTCTGGACAAAAGATTAAAAAAAAAAACACCTAAAAAACTTAACTGCCACTTTTTAAAAGAGAGTCTGGAGCAAAAACAGGGGTCAGAGCAAAAACATGGACCCTGCACACACCACCACCTAAGGAGTGGGCAAACACCTCAGCCACCTCTCCAACCCAACTAGTGGGCCCACCCCTGCCCTCACCCCATATAAAGAACCAGCTCCCCTCTTGGAGAATAAGCAAGCAAGGGAACCTGTTGTTTGTTTTCACCCAGCCCCATGCTGCCACAGGGGCCCCAATAAAGCCTTGCCTGAATTTCTTGGTCTGGCCTCTGATCAACTTCTATTATTTAAAAATGTCAAGTACCCTGGTCAGTGAGGCTTCCCTGGTGGCTCAGATGGTAAAGAATCTGCCTGCAAGTTGGAGACCTGGGTTCAGTTCCTGGGTCAGGAAGATTCCCCTGGAGAAGGAAATGACAACCCACTCCAGTATTCTTGCCTGGAGAACCCCATGGCTAGAGGATCCTGGCAGGCTAAAGTCCATGGACTCGCAAAGAGTCAGACACAGCTGAGCAACTAACACATTCACCCTGGTCAATAACAGACCCTCCAACTCGGTCTTTCTGTGAACAAAAGCAAGCATCTTGTCCCCACCCATACCCCCCAAACCTGTCCTGAAGCTTTTCCTCCACTACGGTCATCATGAGCCACATTCTCTACCTTCTTATTTTGTTCCTGTCTGGATCCCCCTGCTAGAATATGAGCCCCCAGGGGGCACGGACTTTCGTTGGCTTGGTAATTAGGATTTCTCCAGCACCTAGATTAAGGCCTGACACAGAGTAGGTGTTCAGTCATCTTTAAGTGTTTACTCTTAGCGGGTATTGCCTTTGGTTGGGGAGGGGGGTGTTATGTGTTGAGTCTACTCAAACCAACACCCATCAATGTCAGAGGAACTCTTCCTCTTGGTCTCAGCTAAGGACTACTGCCTGGACTGCTAGGTCCTCACTCCATGCCTTAACTGTCCAGCTCTGTGTCTGTTTCCTGAATCCATGGGGTCTCCAGTGTCCAGGGGCCCAGAGTGGGCATTCAGGAGTGTTTGCTGAAAGGTTGCTGATGGCAGAACCTCTTCCACCTCCCCAAGGAAGACTCATCTGGGTGACAAGTAGGACGCTGTCTGGGACCACATCCAGCTCCAGGTTTTGGGAGGAGATGGGGCGGGACCACCCACTCATACTGGATGAGGGTTTAAGGAATTTGCCCCCAACCCCTAACAAAGCACTTCTATAAAGACCCACTTGTAAGACTCTGCATGGATTTTCCTATACAAAGTGGAAATTTTGATAATACTACGAAAGTGAAAGTGTTAGTTGCTCACTTGTGTCCAACTGTAGCCCACCAGTTTCCTCTGTCCATGGGATTCTCCAGGCAAGAATGCTGGAATGTGTTGCCATTTCCTTCTCCAAGGAATCTTCCTGATCCAGGGATCAAACCCGGGTCTCCAGCACAGAAAGCACATTCTTTACCACATGAGCCACAAGGGACGCCCTTATAATATTATATATAGTCCTATATGGGGGGATGCCACCCATGCAGCCCACACCAGGACACCTCCCAGCTTGGGGACCGTAGAAGCGATTTCAGGCCAAATCAGATGCCCAAAGCCTAGGGTCTGTGCCCTGGGTGGATCCCACCGACCCTGAGGACAATGTCCTCATAGTGGCAGTGGGATTGTCATTGCTCACTAAAATGGCCCTCACTTCTCGGGAGTTTCTGCCTAGAACAGAGGCAGCAATCACAAGTGCAACCGAGGCAGGATTCCTGCCCATAACCTGTGCAGGCACGGGGTGGCCTGACTCATCTGTGACGCTGACCTCGGGGAAGTCCACAGTCAGGGTGACGATGGTGGTGACTGTCCAGGCCAGGGGGTTGTAGATCACAGCAAAGAATCCCCCAGTCTCAAGGCCTGCACACACACAAGAGGTTTACTTGTTGCCATGGGACACACTCCACACACCTGGGTGTCCCTTGGAACAAGGGAAACTGAGGCAGGTGAGACCAACCCTGCAGACCCCAGGGAGAGGGACAGACAGACACAGGGGATCAGACAGGCAGCCCCCTCCACACTCTGTTCATGGTGCTGTCCCGGTTCTCAAATGTGGGGTAGGGGGTGTCCCTGCAGAAGCTGAGGGTCCAAGTACCCCTCACCCATCTCTCCCAGTCAGCCCAATTTCCTGGTGAGTACAGTGAGCCCCAGAAAGGAAGAATCACATGCAGAAGGCCTGGTGACTGACTTGGGTGGGGACTCAGAGTCTGAAGCTCAGGTGGTCAGGCCCCCTCCCTGGTCCCAGAAGCTTTCTTCTCAGAAAGGGGCCTAGACTCTGCCAGACTGCAGGGGCTCCCGGCAAGGGCCTTGCTTACCTGTGTGGGCTGGGAACCTGTCGTGGATGATGGTGGACATCAGCTTCTGCACCCCATGCTTCCTGGTGTTCAGGCGTCCCACAAACACGTCACTCACCTTGGGGGTGTGAGTCCCGGTGATGGCTTCGTGGTGCTGGACCTGTCTCCCCGCCCCGAGCAGGACAAGAGTGGGGTCAGGACCTGTCCCTGCTCAGCACCTGCTCTTCCGGGACCCACTGGGCACAGGCTCTCTTTCCCTCTTAGCAGGTGCTGCTGGGGAAAGAGGGGGTCCCTCCCACTTTACAGAAGAGAAAACTGAGATCAGAGAGGCTGATGGACTTGCCCAACTTTGAAGACCTTGTGAAAACCTATACCTGACTCCCTGACCTGGGACAGAAAACAGACTTTCAGAGGGACCCTCCCCAGCTTGATCACTGAGGAAGGCTTTCTCATCTCTCCTTGCTATTCTTCGGAACTCTGCATTCAAATGGGTGTATCTTTCCTTTTCTCTTTTGGCTATTGCTTCTCTTCTTTTCACAGCTATTTGTAAGGCCTCCTCAGACAACCGTTTTGCCTTTTCGCATTTCTTCTTGGGGATGGTCTTGATCCCTGCCTCCTGTACAATGTCATGAACCTCCATCCACACTCTGTCTATCAGGCACTCTGTCTATAAGATCTAATCCCTTGAATCTATTTCTCACTTCCACTGTATAATGGTAAGGAATTTGATTTAGGTCATACCTGAATGGTCTAGTGGTTTTCCCTACTTTCTTCAATTTAAGTTTGAATTTGGAAACAAGGAGCTCATGATCTGAGTCACAGTCAGCTCCTGGTCTTGTTTTTGCTGATTGTATAGAGCTTCTCCATCTTTGGCTGCAAAGAATACAGTCAATCTGATTTTGGTTTTGACCATCTGGTGATGTCCATGTGTAGAGTCCTCTTGTGTTGTTGGAAGAGGGTGTTTTCCATGACCAGTGCATCTCTCAGCAAAACTCTGTTAGCCTTTGCCCTACTTCATTCTGTACTCCAAGGCCAAATTTGCCTGTTACTCCAGGTGTTTCTTGACTTCCTACTTCTTGACTTCCAGTCCCCTATAATGAAAAGGACATCTTTTTTGGGTGTT